ATGTGTACTTCCTTAACAGTTCTTTGAGGCCCAGAGAGGGGAAATTGTTTATCTGACTCATGGAAAAATCTGGGCTGTGTGGTAGCTCACACTGGTAGTCCCAGCACTTGGGGGCCCAAGGTGGGAGAATCAGTTGAGTCCAGGAATTCGAGGCCAGCCTGGGCAACATAGGGAGATCCCATCTCTAAAAAAAAAAAAAATACATATTTTTTTGAAACAGAGTCTCACTCCAGTTGCCCAGGCTAGAGTGTCGTGGCATGATCATGGCTCACTGCAGCCTCGACCTCCCAGGCTCAGGTGACCCTCCTACCTCGGTCTCCCAAGTAGCTGGAACTACAGGTACACACCACCACGCCCAGCTAATTTTTTGGATTTTTAGTTGAGATGGGGTTTCGCCATGTTGCCCAGGCTGGTCTTGAACTGAGCCACCACACCTGGCCAAAAAAAATTTTTTTTTAATTAGCCGGGCATGGTGGTGCATGCCTGTAGTCCCAGCTACTCAGGAGGCTGAGGTGGGAGGATTGTTTGAGCCTGGGAGTTTGAGGCTGCAGTGAGCTGTAATCACACAATGAGCCAAGATTGATTGCGCCATTGCACTGCAGTGGTGACAGAGTGAGACACTGTCTCAAAAAAAAAAAAGAAAAAGAAAAAGAAAAAAAATATCTGGAGTTCATAGATGAACTACATGATAAGGAGTCCTAAAGCCGGTACCAGCTTTAAATACCAGGTTGAATACCAGGATGGATTAATGAATGAATCCTCCCACCATGGTTAATGTTAGTCAAGCCTTAGTTCAGGCCTTGTAACCATGTTTAGAGACTCCAAAGCTTGGGATTAAGAACACTGGGGAGTGGACTAACTGCCCATTGTGTGGCCAGCACTATACCAGGACTGGGTGAGGTGAAGAAAGATAGCAAAAAAACCCCAAAATGCATAGTTCCTCACTACAAAGAATCTTTACTATAGCTGGGGAGATGAGACTTACAGAAGAACATTGAGAGAACACTCTGAGCAAAGATATAATCAGGTATGCAGTTGTATGCTATGAGGTAAAATGCGGATTGAGAAAAAGTACGGGGTAGTATCTGTGGGCCTGACTCATCAGAGAATGTTTCATGAAGGAGGTCAGACTTGAGTTGGCCTTTGAAGAATAGCTGTGATTGGGATTTGTGGAGAAGAGGAAAGGGCATTCCAGGTAGAGGATGTAACATGAACAAAGACATGGGGACAAGAATGAGGATGGTGTCTGGGGAGAAGGGCCTGGATGGAGTGTAAAATCTGTGCTGGGGAAGTCACTGGGGCTAGGCTAGGAGGGGGCAGGCTGAGAGATGGCCTTGAATGCTCAGCTGAAGAATTGAGACACAGTCCCAGTAAGGACTCTTTTGATCAGAAGAGTGATAGGAGGAGTTGGGTATGTTGCAAGACTCCTTGGAATGAATGGATAGCATGTGTACTGGGAGGTGCAAGAAGAAGACTTCAGGCTGGGCGTGGTGGCTCATGCCTGTAATCCCAGGACTTTTGGAGGCCCAGGTGGGCAGATGACCTAAGGTCAGGAGTTTGAGATCAGCCTGGTCAACGTGGTGAAATCCCGTCTCTACTAAAAATACAAAAATTATCTGGGTGTGGTGGCATGCGCCTGTAATTCCAGCTACTCGGGAGGCTGAGGCAGGAGAATTGCTTGAACCTGAGAGGTGGAGGTTGCAGTGAGCCGAGATTGCATCATTGCACTCCCACCTGGGCGACAGAGTGAGACTCTGTCTCAAAAAGAAAAAAGAAGACTTGAGACGGGGAGCCTGGCCAGTAGACTCTTGGAGTGATATACAGGTGTAGTAGAACAACTTGAAATGTTATTGGGGAACAACAACAGCAACAGCAAAAAACCTCAATGAGTGTTTATAGAATGCCTATCTTTTTTTTTTTTTTTTGAGATAGAGTCTCGCTCTGTCGTCCAGGCTGGAGTTCAAGCAATTCTCCTGCCTCAGCCTCCCGAGTAGCTGGGATTACAGGCGCCCACTACCACGCTCAGCTAATTTTTTTTGTATTTTTGCTAGAGACGGGGTTTCACCATGTTGGCCAGGCTGGTCTGGAACTCCTGACCTCAAGTGATCTGCCCGCCTCAGCCTCCCAAAGTGCTGGGATTACAGGTGTGAGCCACCATACCCAGCCCTATTTTTCATTTTTGTAAGAGAAAAAATAGCTGATGCAGAATTGAAAAATTCCTAACCATTAAGGTTATGAGACACTAAAATAGAGTATCATCTTATGCAACTTATTCCCCAGACTGGAAGTCTGGTTAGTGACAAGAGGAATGAATGAAATAACCTGCTAAAGTTTCTTTCAGGTCAGGGACCCGAGGTTTATACTGACCCCCTCTCCCCACCTCCCTCACGCCTTGACCTCTGGTCCTCTTGTCTTTGGAGGTTTTCACACCAGACACTGCAGCAGACACCCATGATAAGTACCATGACTCCAATGAGTGCCCAGGGCGTCCAGGCAGGCGTCCGCTCAACAGCCATCCTACCTGAGCAGCAACAGCAGCAGCAACAGCAGCAACAGCAACAGCAGCAGCAGCAGCAACAGCAACAGCAACAGCAGCAGCAGCAGTACCACATCCGGCAGCAGCAGCAGCAGCAGATCCTGCGGGTAAGGCACTGGGGAAATTTCCTCTGGGACCTGGGAGCCCAGGGAAGAGGAGAGGCACAAGTTCTTCCCACACAGTTACCAAGACTAAACGAGGCAGTGTATCAAAACACCTAGCAGAGCAGCTGGCCTCTAGTGGTGCTGGAGAAGTTAGTTTCCTACCCTCCCCCTTTTTGTTTTCTGGGAATCATAGTAGGAGAGAGTTGGACATTGTCCACTGGGTACCCTAGATTTGGTTTCTTTCTGGGCAGCTGTCTAAAAAGGGAAGGCAGTAGACCCCGAGCTCCCACCCTGCTTCCTCATCCCCTGTCCTCACCCCTCCAGTTCTGAGTCTTAGCTTCCTCCCTCTGCTCCTTCTGAAGTATCTTTTATGTTCTTATAGCAGCAGCAGCAGCAGCAACAGCAGCAGCAGCAGCAGCAGCAGCAACAGCAACAGCAGCAGCAGCAACAGCAACAACAGCAACACCAGCAGCAACAGCAGCAACAGGCGGCTCCTCCCCAACCCCAGCCCCAGTCCCAGCCCCAGGTAGCTACTGGACTAGAGCCCCAGGCTCAGGGACAACTGCCCAGGTTGGGCATGCAGCCAGTGAACTGGGTTGGGGACAGTATGGAATAGGGTAGAGGTGGGAGGCAGGGCATGGCACCCTAAAGAGGGATTGGGAGGCCAGGCGCGAGGCTCACGCCCGTAATCCCAACACTTTGGGAGGCCGAGGCGGGTGGATCACTTGAGATCAGGAGTTTGAGACCAGCCTGGCCAAGATGGTGAAACCCCGTCTCTACTAAAAATACAAAAAAAAAAAAAAAAAGCCAGGTGGGCACCTGTAATCCTAGCTACTTGGGAGGCTGAGGCAGAGAATTGCTCGAACTTGGGAGGCAGAGGTTGCAGTGAGCCGAGATCACACCACTGCACTCCAGCCTGGGGGATGGAGCGCGACTCCGTCACAAAAACAAAAACAAACGGATTGGGAAAGGAGGTTGAAGAAGGAGAAAAGTTAGACTTCAGTCTTCCACTTCCTATTTCCACCCAGTTCCAGCGCCAGGGGCTTCAGCAGACCCAGCAGCAGCAACAGACAGCAGCTTTGGTCCGGCAACTTCAACAACAGCTCTCTAGTAAGCCTGCCTGCCTTCCCAAGGAGAACCCCATGGAATAAATTTAGGGGGCGGGGTGGGCCAAAGTAGCTGAAAAGATGGCTTCAGGCCCAGGTTATGAGAGGAGGCATTCCATTCCATCCTCTTCCCTTGATACCTGAACAGCTTTCCTCGTGCATACCCACACCCCTGCCTGGTCTTCCATCCCTGATAATCTCTGGTTTTTCACAGATACCCAGCCACAGCCCAGTACCAACATATTTGGACGCTACTGAGCCACCTGGAGGAACTGCTTGTGCACTGGATGTGGCCCCACCCTTTCCTCTTAATTCCCAATCCCGTTCCTGGGCTAGCACCAGTAGTGGTTGGGGCCCTTCCCTCAGGCTCCGTTTTTAATAAGTTTTTAGTATTTTTGTTAATGTGAGGCATTGAGCTGTTGGGTTTTGTATATTATTTATATAGAGACCCCAGAGCTGTTGCACCCAATACACAGAGCTTCTTTGCAAAGGGAGTGTGTGAGTTCTGCATGTCTGGGAAGGGTGGTCTCTTGGGAGAATGCTGGGGGCTGGATCAACAAGTCAGAGTCTTCGTTCTATTCCGATCATCTCCCCTGTTTACCTTACACTCTAAATTTCTTTTTTTTCTTTCTTTCTTTCTTTTTTTTTTTTTTTTTTGAGACGGAGTCTCGCTTTGTCGCCCAGGCTAGAGTGCAGTGGTGCAATATCGGCTCACTGCAACCTCCGCCTCCCAGGTTCCAGCGATTCTCCTCCCTCAGCCTCCTGAGTAGCTGGGATTACAGGTGTGTGCCATCACGCCCGGCTAATTTTTGTATTTTTTTTTTAGTAGAGACAGAGTTCCACCATATTGGCCAGGCTGGTCTCGAACTCCTGATCTCGTAATCTACCTGCCTCAGCCTCCCAAAGTGCTGGGACTACAGGCGTGAGTCACCGCGCCTGGCCTAAATTTCTTAATTCTAATTGGATTGCTACCCTCTCTTCCTCTTCTTCAACATGGCAACACGTTAAAGTACAGGGGCCCTTAGTCTCTTTTTATTTATTTTTGAGACGGAGTTTTGTTCTTGTCGCCCAGGCTAGAGTTCAGTGGCTCAATCTTGGCTCACTGCAACCTCCGCCTCCCAGGTTCAAGTGATTATCCTGCCTCAGCCTCCCGAGTAGCTGGGATTACAGGCATATGCCACCACGCCTGGCTAATTTTTGTATTTTTAGTAGAGACAGGGTTTCACCATGTTGGCCAGGCTGGTCTTGAACTCCTGACCGCAGGTGATCCGCCCACCTCGGCCTCCCAAAGTGCTGGGATTACAGGCATGAGCCACCACACCTGGCCCCTTAGTCTTTTAAGAAGCGGCAGTGAACCTTCTCAACTAAATGTTGCAGCCATAAGCTTTCCTCCATGGGGAATATACCATTGGGATTGAGGAGGGGCCCTTAGGCCAGGGGAAACATCAATGGAACCTGATTCTTCCACAACACCCCAGATGTTGGGCCTCAAACAAGCTGGGGAGGGTGGAGATGACAGACACTGCCTACGCTTCTTGTCATCTTGTGTGGTCCCCATCATGCACCAAGTGGCATACCTTTCATAGGACAGAGAACTTCCCTGAGAGTCACATGCCTGGATGAAAAATTGCCCTCCATTGGCATGTGCCATCATAGAATAGGTCGTGCAAGGACCGGTTGGTTCTAGGAGGAAGAAAGACCGGTAAAAATAAGCACCCTTTCTCTCTCTGCCCTGCTGCCAGAACTGCCTGTTCTCACATGACCCACCTTGGCAGTTACCCAGGATGACTGTTGCTCGCTCCCATTTTACAGTAGAGAAAACTCAAAACTGTTACCCCAGAGTCACATTTGGAGCTGTGGCAGGGCCATCCTCGCCCTCTTGCTTTCCAGTTTGAGTTCTAGATCCAAGGCTGTCCAGGAGAGCCAACTCGTTTACTACAATGGAGTCTTGGAGTCTTGGAGTCTTCTGCCCTGCCTAGCTAGGGCTGGAAGAGGATCAGCCTCAGCCTTGTGAGTGGGTGGTACAGGATGATTTGACAACTTAAGGATAACATGCAAGCCATAGTTGCACCCTATTACTGGGAAGTGTCTAGTGTGCTGGCAAAACCAGGAGCACCAATCAATACCCAAGTTATAAAAAATAAAATAGCCCTCTTTGAGGCCCACGAAGCCCTTGCTTATATGGGACTTACCAAGTTTAAGAGTTGCGTGCACAAGGAATGGAACTCCTTGACAGCGTAAAGGCAAACATGACCGAAACTTTCTTCTCCCTTACTCTATCCTGACAAACATTCTGAGGAGTCACAGGAGTACAGGCTTGGCTGGGATGAGGGACATTCATGGGGGCTTGGGGGTTGCTAAACAAACGGCAGGTGCGCCACGTACAAAAACACAAGACACAAAGACACTGAACCTGGAGGGGAGAGACTGAAATGGTCAGACAACTGGCATGCTGACAGTCTGAGTCTGACATGCCCCAGCAGAAGCAGCAGAAGGGAACAGCACTGACCTTTGGGAGAGTGACAGGATGAGAGCAGAGTGGCCCCACTGGTTGCTGCTTGGGTAGTGCTGGTGCTGAGAAGGGATGCTGCCTGAGGTGGAGGTGTGTTTTTGTGTAGTATGACTGAGGGTTCCTGCAGGCAGTGCCTCAGTTTCTCCCTTTGGGTCAAGGTCTCAAGCTTTGCAGGTAAAGATTGGGCTAGCTGCCCTGGAAGATCACCTGTCTAATAGCTTGCAATCTGAGGTGTGTGTGTGCACGTGCATGAGAGGGAGCGGAACGTGCCTGAGCATGGGGGGGACTGGGCCATGCCCCAGGACTTGAGCCATCTCTGGCACAAAAGGAGTTAATGGCAGGGACCGCGCCCCCCCGTGTCCGGGCACGCGCAGCGCGCCCCCTCGGTGCGCGGGCACAGCAGCCAGGCTGCCGGAGAGCTGATCTCGGGGATTCGGGTGCGGAGCCCTTGGCCTGGAGGCGATATGGGTGGTCCGTGGCCCGGTTCAGTCGCTTGCAGCAGCCCGGGGAACAGGTGAGGCCGCCTGCCCCGGTCTCTCATCCTCTAGCTGCCCATACCTTGCCCCCATCCTAACCCCTCCCAATCCCAGGCTCCTCCACTCCCCAGCCAGTGGCCCCCATCCCTCTCAACCCCATGTTCTCCATCGGCACCCCTGACCCCCGATCCTCCCCCGCTTCTGTTCTCTCCTCTACCTCCTCCCTAAATCCCGCATCCCTATCATCCTCCCGCCCATGGTTCCTCTATTTCCACAGCCCATCCCGCATGCTCATCAAAATACCCCTATTGAGGGCCCCCAGCCCCATCCCGGGATTGCACATTGCCAGTCCCCCCTCCCCTGCAGTGCAGCTCCATCCCCCTTCCATCATAGCATCTCATAGCCAGGCTCCCTCCCCCACTCTCTGCAGCCCCCCCACCCAATGGAGGCCTTTATCCTATCCTCCCCCATTCCAGTGCAACTCCATCCCCCAATCCATTCCAAGCCCTCATAGCCCCCAGTACTGCAGTTCTCAATATTGGTCCATTCCTGCACAATGCCCCGCGCCCAACACCTCTGCAGCCCCAAAAGTACCCCCAGATGCCATTCTCATCCCCGGCATTGCTGCCTCCCCTTGTCTTCTCCCAAATTGCAAGTTGGGCAAGGATGGAGATCTTGGCCTTGGGGATTCACAGTGGGTCCTAGGGTACAGAGGGCGTTTGGGGGTCGGTCCGATTGTCTAGGTGTTCACGGGGGAGGGGCTGCAGGGAATTGACTCAAAGGAGAATTTGGCATTTGGCGCCGAAGGGTTACTGGAGAGGGGGTCATCCCGAAAGGGTTAATGGAATTTGTGGGGTGGGGGCAGCACCGAGGGGGTTAATGTGGGGGGGTTGCTGGCGGGGAAGCTGTGTGAATGAGCGGTCTGTGCCCTGGAGTTGCCATGGAGACGGTGAATGGGGGGATTGTGTGAACTCAGCTGCGGACTATCCCCCCCCATACACACACCCACCCACTCCCTCCTGCCCCACCTCCCTACTCCTACCCCTTCCTTCCCCTTCCCCTCCTCCCCCGACCCGGGTGCATTCTGGGCAGTGTCTGGGATCTTCCCCCCCAATACTTTGCTCCCCATTTCCTCATTTCCTCTGAGCCCCCACCCCTTAAGCCACTTTACCCGCCCTCCCTCCTCTTCCTTTTTCTTCTTTCTGTCTCTCTCTCTCTCTGTCTCTCACACACACACACACACACACACACACACATTCTCATTCCCCTCTCGTGGTGGCTGATTGCCGGGCGTTCCCAATCTCCCTCCCCCACCCCTTCAGCCAGTTCTTAAAGGAGCAGGCCTGCAATCTGGGAAGGCGGGAGAAATGGAGGAAAACTAAATGTGCATGTGGCGTGCATGTGGCGTGCGTGTGCATGTGTGTGCGTGTGTGTGCGGGAGCATGCGGGAGTATCTGTGTGTGCCTGTGTCTATGTGTTGACTGTGTAACTGTGTCAGAAGGCCTGTGTGTCTGAGTGTGTTGCTATTTCTGTTTCTGTCTCCACCTATGTGTCACCATTATGCTGCATGTGTCTGGATATTTACCTATGCGGGTATGTGTGATTATATTTCAGTAAGTCTCTGTGTGTGTCTCTGAATGTATCACTCTGTGAGGCTCTGGCTGTGTGAGGCGCTCTGTCTCAGAATGTGGGACTATATGAGGGGATCTCTGTGGGTTTGGAATGTATGTCTCTGTGAGTGAATATCGCAGTGTCTGTGATCCTGGCTTGGTCTCTCTCATTCCCTCTTTGAGTCTTTGTGAGTTTATTTCTATGAGTCTCTGAATATGCGTTCCCCACGCTCCGTTGTTTATTTTATAATACACCGGAAGAGCATCCACAATGCCTAGGGTGCTAGGCAGAACTCTTTCTACCTCACTTCTGGAATTCGGTGTGAATTAAGAGAGAGCCAACTGAAAGGACCAAGGCTTAAGGATTTGGGAGCAGTGAGGGCTGAGGAGAAATGTACAGAAGGGGCGCAGGAGGGTCCAGGGACTCCGGTGAATGGCTGTCCTGCCCTCTGCCCTGCCTGAGGGTGAGGGAGTCTCTCTGTGGGACTCTGCCGATTCGCTGCTTTCTGTTCTTGTGTCTTAGTGTCCCGGAGTGAGGTTGACAATCCCACCCTGTCCTGAAGTGGAGGTCCCTGTGTGGGCTTACCAGGTCCCAAGGGCTACACAGCTCCGTTCAAGCAGCATGCCCGGGGACCTGAGCTCCATCTTTGTTTCTCCCCACCCCCTGGCTGTCACACGCTACTCTGGCTCCAGCCGACCCTGATGAACCTCTTTGGCTGTGGGGTTGAAGTTGGGCACCGGGAACTTGCAGTGGCAACAACTGTCACTGTCAAACCCCTTGGATTTTCCAGCCATGGCCAGGCACGTAGAATGGTTCTGATTGGCAGTGGATCATCTGTGAGTCCCTGGGCCCCTGGCCATGTGAAACCTCTCCTGCCTATAAGAGAATAGCCCAAGCCCAGCGGGGCCCCCAAAGACCAACTCTGTCGCCCTCCCAGACCATCTTGGATGACACATACTTCCCTCTTTCCACAGGCCTGTCTGGCCCTGAGGGAGTCCCCTTTCTGAAGCTGTGGTGCTTGGACGACCTGCTCTCTACGTTGCTGGGCACCTGTAGGTGTCCCTCGAGAGCTCAGTTTTGAGGTTCAAGTCAGTGTGGCCATGAAGGGGCTGCCTATTGGGCTGATGCTGTGACCCTGGAGTCTGCCTCTCCTGCCAGTCCCCCTGCCCGGAACATGTGGCTGCGGCTTGGCCCGCCCTCGCTGTCCCTGAGCCCCAAGCCCACGGTTGGCAGGAGCCTGTGCCTCACCCTGTGGTTCCTCAGTTTGGCGCTGAGAGCCAGTACCCAGGCCCCAGCACCCACAGTCAACACTCACTTTGGGAAGCTAAGGGGTGCCCGGGTACCACTGCCCAGTGAGATCCTGGGGCCTGTGGACCAATACCTGGGGGTGCCCTACGCAGCTCCCCCGATCGGCGAGAAACGTTTCCTGCCCCCTGAACCACCCCCATCCTGGTCGGGCATCCGGAACGCCACACACTTTCCCCCAGTGTGCCCCCAGAACATCCACACAGCTGTGCCCGAAGTCATGCTGCCAGTCTGGTTCACTGCCAACTTGGATATCGTCGCTACTTACATCCAGGAGCCCAACGAAGACTGTCTCTACCTGAACGTCTATGTGCCGACGGAGGATGGTGAGTGCTGCGGCCAGGCACTGTGCCCTCCCTGCCTCCCGCCTGCCCTGTTGTGTTTGTGGCTTGCATGTGGTTGTGTGCCCTGCAGCATGCGTCTGTCTGTCTGTGAAAATGCTTCTAACCATCACTCTGCTTGGCCTCCCACCGCCCTCCCCGTTCTTCCCTCTCCCAGCATTGTCCGAGCTCCCATGTGTGAGTGACACTGTTGCCAGGAGGGGCCTGGCCCGGCCTGAGAGCTCTGATGGGTCTAGGTCCAGTGCTGGATGGGGGTCCCCTGGGGGAGTATGGGTCACGACTGGCAGCTGCCCGCGGGAGGATGCTGGCTCCACCAGGCCCCCCTGTTGCCATTCCACCTGCTTCGAAAGGTGGTAGGTGTGTGTGGCCAAGGACGCTGGGTGTGTGGGGGGCGGGGGGCAAGCCTGGTGGGCAATGCTTAGGTGCCGCCTCTTTCACTAGCTGATGCCTCCTCCCGCGGGGGTCACACTAAGGTAAGTGACAGAAACAAGGAGATGGTGGGACAGGCTCTCTGCCATGTGCCGCCTGCAGAGCAGCTCAGCTCTTGGGGCCTGGGGGGTGGGGGGTGCATGCCCCTGGGCAGAGGCCTCCTGTTATTTTTTAGTTTTTTATTCATTTTACAGTAAAGCGGATTTCCAAGGAATGCGCCCGAAAGCCCAACAAGAAAATTTGTAGGAAAGGAGGTAGGTAGCGAGCCGGCGGGGAGGGAGAGAGAGAGAGAGGGAGGGCTGCCTGCCCACCTGCCCTTGCCCCCAGGACCCAGCCTTCCTCTAAGTAGCCCAGGCTCAGGGGGCAGTGAGCAGGCATAAGCGCCACCTCATCCGAGGGCCCTGGCTGCCTTGCAGGGAGGATTTGGTGGCCTAAGGCAGCCTCAGAGCAGAAGCAGCAACCCTATTTCTTCCAATATTCCCAGCCCCAAATTCCACCCTAAAGTGTGTGCCAAAGGCAGAGCCAGTGGCTCTCTCGGTGACACCTCAGGAGAAACTCTAGGAAGCCAAGATGGAGCCAGAGGCTCCACCCTTTTCCTAGTGGGTGGAGCCAGAAGACCACCCCTTCTGTGTTCTTTCTCCTGGATTGAAAGTCTAGACTCAATTGTCCCACCCTGAAGCTTAGACCAAACACGTGTACACAGGTTTAATAACTCCTGCCATACACACCTCTGCCTCCCACCCCACCACCTCTGGCCAGAGTGTAGCTGATAGACCCAGGCTGCTCTGGTGGCAGAACTTGGGGGTCTCTGGGAACTATGGACTTTAAAGGAGGCACAAGATCCTGAATTTTAAATTTGCCCTCATGCTGAGAGGAGTTTCTCCCCCTGTATAATAATTCTTCCTGTTGGAATATCACTTTATGTTTTCTGTAAAGTGCCTTGGCATTTACCTTGTAGAATCCTCCCTACATCTCTGGAAGCATCTAAGGCAGGAATCAGTATCCCAATTTTACAGATGAGGAAACAGGCCCAGGGGAGTGACTTGTTGCTGCTCAAGGCCCCCGTCGCTGGTCTGTGGCAGAGCTGGGACCAAAACCTGGGTCTCTTGACCCTCAGGACATGTTCTTTCCACTGTAGCACACGGAAGCAACTCCCATCTGCTCATTCCCATCTCCCCAACTCAAAAAAATGGTGAGATGTGGCTGGACTGGGGAGAATTGGAACAGTAACAGCCTAAGGAACAGGTGGAAAAATCACAGCTTGATCCCTACAACCCTCTGGCAAGCTGGGAGTTTGTTTTCCTTTGATGTCCTAGGGCAGGGTTTCTCAGAATGGGGTTGTCAGAATTCCTGGGATGGGGTGCTCCTTACTGAATAAGAATTTCTGGGGGCAGAGCCTGGGAATCTATATGTTGAACATGAGCCCTGAGTGCTTCTAATGCACACCTGAGCATGGAGTAAGACCCGCTGCTCTAGGGATAGTATTTCACCACAGCCCCATATCCCACCCAGGACCTCACACACTATAGGCAATTGATGTTTTTCGTGTAATTCAGAAGCATCATGGTGCTGCAGAAAGAGTACAGGTCTGGGAAGCACAAGGCCTGAGTCCCAGCTCTGCTGCCAACTCACAGCGAGACCTTAGCCAAGTCTTTTCCTTCAAGAACCTCTGTTTCCACATCTGAGGTTGGTAGGGGACAGTTCTGGCCTTAGCATTCCATTAGTCTGTAAATGAATTCAGGAAGAAGGTCTCTTAAACCTGCAGGAGCGGCTGGGCACGGTGGCTCACACCTGTAATCTCAGAACTTTGGGAGGCTGAGGCGGGCGGATCACGAGGTCAGGAGATCAAGACCATCCTGGCTAACACGGCGAAACCCCATCTCTACTAAAAATACAAAAAATTAGCCGGGCGTCGTGGCGGGTGCCTGTAGTCCCAGCTACTTGGGAGGTTGAGGCAGGAGAATGGTGTGAACCCGGGAGGCGGAGCTTGCAGTGAGCCAAGATCGTGCCATTGCACTCCAGCCTGGGCGACAGAGCAAAACTCCGTCTCAAAAAAAAAAAGAAAAAGAAAAAGAAAAGAAAAGAAACCTGCAGGAGAGGAGATGGCATTCACATTAACCATTTCTTAGGAAGAATGATCTCCCAGTAAGAGCCTTGGGCTGTCCAGTCCAGCCCTGAGAGTGTGGCCAGAGAGCAGACTGGAAGCCCCGGCTCAAACATGCACATTTACCGATTGTGATTGTTGACTGTGGGCAAGGCCATGTGCTAGGTGTTGTTGGGATGTGGAGGGATGTAAGGTAGAGGAAAGATCTAGAAATGACTAAAGGCCTAATCACTGCTCTGAAGAAGCTCTTAGCCTTGTATTAAAACTCAGCTGGTTTGGCCAGGCGCAGTGGCTTATGCCTATAATTCCAGCACTTTGGGAGGCCAAGGTGGGTGGATCACTTGAGTTCAGGAATTCGAGACCAGCCTGGCCAATATGGTGAAACCCCATCCCTACTAAAAATACAGGTGCATGGTGGCACGCACCTGTAGTCCCAGCTCCTCGGGAGGCTGGGGCAGGAGAATCGCTTGAACCCGGGAGGTGGAGGTTGCAGTGAGCTGAGGTGGTGCCATTGCACTCCAGCCTGGGCAACAAGGGTGAAACTCCATCTACAAAAAAAAAAAAAAAAAACTCAGCTGGTTTCCCTAAGTCCCATGGGCCAATCAGGAAGTGGGTTCCAGACAGTGCAAGGGAAGGCATTTAGTCATTTTGCTGTTCAAATTAGTTCCCTACCCAGGACCTGGTGGCCATTTGGAAGAGTGACAAATCCCGCCTCTTGAGGGAGACCCATCCCCAGAGGTCGTTAGGGTTGTGGTGTGCAGAGGTCTGGGGGCTGGCCTGGCTGGGATCCCTCAGCGGCACAGGGTCTGGGAATGGTGGTCGGCAGTCAGGCTGGCCTGGGTAAGAGGCATGGCAGCTAGGAGCCGCTCAGCAAGTGCCAGGCTGAAGGAGCAGAGGCATCTGTGTGAAGGAGGCTGGGACAATGCAGCAACCCAGGGACACTCTCAGAGGGGTTCACAAGGGATGTATCTTCTAAGTCAGGGATGATGGGAAATGAAGGGTTTCCTGGGGAAGACCTGCCCCATCTCCCCAACACCCCACCCCATCAAGTTGGAAGGAATTCATGTCTGGGGAAAAGTGACTCCTTTCCGTTTGGTAGGCTGTCCACAGTGTGAGGGATGATACCCATGTCCCATTAGGTTTCTGAGGACAGCAGTGGCAGGTGTTGAGCTAATGTATTAAGACGGTAGGTGCCACCGGAAGTTCAGGGAGCCAGAGGCAATTTCTCCCCTAGAGCTGTGCTCTTGTCCTAGTTGAAAAGCCATTTTGTAGGATGAGGGCAGTTCCTGTTTTGATGAATGGCTGTAAGGAAATCTAGTCATCAGAGTCCAGACCGGCTGGGAAAGAGGGCTCTTTGCTCCTTCCAGGCTGAGGGTATCTGATGTCATAGATGCAAGAGAGCAAGCCCTGGGGTGGCAGCACAGCCCCCTCTGTTTCCACACACTGACCAGCATCCAGACAGCCGGTCCTCTCCCTCCTCGGCCATCACCAGGATGCACTTCTAGCCTCCTTAGAACAGGAAGGAGAATTTGTGCCAGCTTAGCCCCAGATCCTAAATGTTTCCCTTCTCACCTCTAGTCTCTTCTTTTTTCTCTACCCTCCTTTCCCCTTCTCTCCCCTCCCCTCCATGCCCCACTGCTTTTCTCATCTAATTCTTCCCTCCCCTCCCCTTTCCCCCACCCCAGAAAGGTGGCATGATGCAGTGGAAAGATCATGGGCTTTGGAGTCAAGCAGACCTGGGTGTGAATCGCACCTCTAGCACTTCCTAGCTGTGTGATCTTGAGCAAGTCACTTTACCCCTCTGAACCTCAGTTTCCCCATCAGTGAAACAGGAATAAAGATAGGACCTATCTCATTGGGGTATAAGGATCAAACAATATGGCAGAAATAGAGTGTCTGGCACATGGTGAATATTCAGTACATGGTTGGAGCTGTGACCATTATTCCTATCTCTTTGTTTCTCTTCTATTTTTTTTTCTCTCTCTCACCATCCCTTTCTCCTCTTCCCCTTTCTTCTCTCCCTCTGTCCCTCTCTGGCTCTCTCTACATCTCAGAGCAATGCTTGCTGCTCTCAACACTGGTTCCTGTGGGCAGGAACCCCATTTGCCATTAACCAGAGCAGGGGCTCCAACAAGGAAGACCAGAGGGAAAGCTTCATCTCCCATTTTCTCCTGTGGGGATCAGGGTCAGCTGAGGCCCAGCTTGAACCTGCCCACTGGGCCCCAGGAGCTCAGGCCTGGGGTCCCTGTACACATCTCTGCCCTAAGTACCTCGTATCCACAACCTCCACACTTGCTGGCAATGTTGCCCCTCACCCTTGGTACCTGACCCTGCTCTCCAGCTCAACCTGCCTGTGTACACACGAGCAGCCCCTTCCACCCAGAATGAATCCTTCCCCTGAGTGGGTCTCTGGCTCTGTGCCCTGGCCCACTTGCTGCTACCTCCTTCCTCACTGGAAAGGTAGTTGGTTGAGATGGGCTGTTGGGGACAGGGAGGCGGGGCAGGGCGGTGCAGAGAGGCCAGCACATCAGGGACCTGCAACACCATCATCCTGGTGAAGGTCTGGGCCTCAGCCCACCCATTCCCTCAGTTCTTGCCATCCCTCCTGCCTGTCCTGGGCCCAGGCCCGGAGCTGGCTTGCTGGGCCACACTGCAGTCATGCTGTTTTTGAATTCTCTCTCTGTTTTGTTCTCTGTTCTGTGCTGTTGTGTCTCCCCGTGTCTGGTCCCCAGGATCCGGCGCTAAGAAACAGGGCGAGGACTTAGCGGATAATGACGGGGATGAAGATGAAGGTATTTGGGGGCTGCAGGGCGCGGCGGCTGGTGCATGGCACAGAGCCCCTCCCCTTCTCGATGGGGAGAAGCCCCGTCTGTCTGTCTGTCTGTCCGTTGGTGTGTTTCTGTTCCTGTACAAGGCCGTTGGGCTGTTCATCTGTCTTTGGCCCCGTTGGCCACTGGGAGTTCCGGGGTGATGGACATGGCTGGCAGGAGCAGGGGACCACAAGCAGAGCCATGGGGAGGACATCCTCCTTGCCTGGGTCTCCCGCCCCTTCCCCATCTTCTGTGGTTCAGAGGCACCTGCCCCTACTGAGCAGCAGGGAGAGTGGAGAGAAAGCAGGACCACTGAGGGTGGGGAGAGGACAAAGGCAACGGAACGGCAAGGAGATTACCTGTGTTTCAGTGAAGAGACCCCTGTGTCTCACAGGGAGCCTGGCTTCTGGGAAAGGGACCCCGCAGGACGGCGAACTGGGGAGTGAGGCAGTGACAACCAAAGGGGCTGGAAAAGCAGCACCAGAACCTCCCCAGCCTTATCCTAGAAAAGAGAGAGATGGTCTCGGGGCCAGGGGCTGCAGTAGGTACAAGACAAGGCCAGAAAGAGTGGGCTAAAATGCCAGGCTAAGGCCAGGACACCACAGCCATCAATAAATGGCATGAGATCCTTGGGCAATGATCGGACCAGCCTTCCTCCTTGGAGAAACAAGTTCTGTTTGCTCTGCAGCAGAGAGCATCCCTTCCTCCTCCATGCCCTGGCCCCGCCCCTCTGTCCTGAAGGGGCCAGGCAGCTCAGGGGGGCCCAGTGGTGATGGGTAGGGCTGTGCTGGCATGGCAGAGAGTACTGGTCCAGTTCACAGACTGACAGGCTACAGGCAGAGGTGATCAGGCCTGGAGCCTTCTCTTGACTGCCCCAGCCCTGATGCCGTGCCACCTGGGCTTGGGAGCAGCTGCTTGATGGTCCCTTGTTGAATGGCCTCTGGGGAGGCTCCATCTTCATCTTGGTGCTGACTGGGAGCAGGCTCTGTCATTCTTAGTTCTGCCCCATCCCCAATGCTTCTGGTTAAGTCTGCCCGGGGAGAATGGGGAAATGGGCACATGGCTAAGAAACCATGTCAACAAGGTTCCCCCCACCCTATCTCTGCCATTCACTCCCCTTTCCCCACATCCTTCCTTGTTCTCTCCCTGTGCCACCCCTTATTCCCACACCTCTTGTCTCTGTCTGCACTGGGGGGCCAGCTGCTGCCAATGGCCGTTTTTCCATGTAACTGGTCTAGTCTTGGGGGTTTCAGGGCTCCCCAGCTCCTGCTCTCTAAAGCCATGTCAGGTCCCAGGACTCCTGGGTGCCCAGGGCAGCGACTCACCTGATGTGGCTAAAGGACCAGCCCTTCCTCTTTCTGCTGCCCCCCGCCCCCAGGGCCCAGCCATGGCCCACTGAGGCCTGGCTATATCACATGCCTGGCTGCCTTCAGCTGGGAGACACTTGAAACCAGAGGCTTCAAAAACATCACTGAAGTCCCACTGTCTCAGGCTGATGCTTGAGCTCCAGGTTGAGCAGCCTCATGAGTCCTGCCCTCAGGGATGGCGGTGGTGTCCTGGCACCTGGGATAGCTTTGCTGCCCGCACCCACCCCCCGGGCTGGCGGGGGTTGGGGAGGAAGGGCATCCCACCCAGCCTGTGTCTCACCCCTTCTCCTTGCAGACATCCGGGACAGTGGTGCTAAACCCGTCATGGTCTACATCCATGGAGGCTCTTACATGGAAGGGACAGGCAACATGATTGATGGCAGCGTCCTCGCCAGTTATGGCAATGTCATCGTCATCACCCTCAACTATCGGGTTGGAGTGCTAGGTATGGTTCCCTGTCTGGTGCCTAGAAGGAAGACTGGCTTCTTAAGGAGGGGAGGAAAGAATGCTGGAGAATTTAAAAACAGAGAGCCTTGCTTCTCTAGCTGGTGCTAATGACCACAGTCAAAATGGTGTTATCCTCTGGCCCCTACCCAAATGCTAGGGGCTTCCCCATATCCCCAGGCCCTTTCTTAGAAGGTTTAGATGCCACTGGAAATTCAATTCAAACTTCACACCTTCTCTCAGGTCCCAAGCCAGGTCTCTGCTTCCAGACTTTCACTTGGCTGGGTTTTGTAGGATGCTTCAATTTTCCACTGACCCATCTTCACCTCTACCCACCCGCCCCACATCCCTAAACACCCCACACATGCACAGATATTCCTTCCAGTCCACTCCATGGCCACACACCTATTTACCTTCACGTGTTTACACATCCACCCCGCCATGCAGCTGCAGGCAGACGGTGATTTCTCACTCACCCCCACAAAGTACACACACCTAGCCCCACATTCACATCTCCAGGCCCCTCACACACAAACACATTCTCCCAGCACTCCAGGTAACTCCACCCACATAGTCTCTCCAGAACACACACCCGCACACGCGCACACCCGCACACCCGCACACGTGCACACCCGCACACCCGCACACGCGCACACCCGCACACGCACACACGCGCACACGCGCACACCCGCACACCCGCACACCCACACACCCACACGGTCTGTGTACTCCACATCTGCACCCCGCAGATGGCTCTCACCCTCTGCATGTGCACACACATGCTCATGTGCTTCTCCCCATGTCTCTGGAGCCACATCTACACCCATACCCACGACGCATACACACCCACACCCACACTTTACCCCCGTATTTACAGCCCACACAAAAACCTACACCCTGCACATCCACGTCCACACCCAAACTCCACACATATACACCTTAAATGTATATAAATATTCCTTCCACCCACCCTGCACACATACATGTACACGCCCATATCCCCCTGCACACCCCACTTCTACATCCACTTTACACACCCACCTGCTACCACACACACCTGTCCCTATCTCCTCAGAAACACAAACCAACATTCCCCTTCCCTACACACATATACTCTTACCTGTTTGTCCACACTGTCTCACCCTACACATACACAGATACTACACACACACCATATCCACATCTACATACATCCCACATACTGCCCTTATGTCATTCCCCTACACATACACTCCCCCACACACACACATCGTGCATGCATGCATATACATGTGCACACTCTTCCATACACAGCCTGCATATGTACACCCAGCACACACCCATGCACTTCTCCCCTCACCCCACCCCACAAATACATACACATCCGTGTACATGGGGCTGCACCTGTATCCATACATGCACACACACCTCTACCCATGCCCAACCGCATCCCCCCAAATCCCCCCACACTTCCTTATCCCGTATATGCACACATACACACTCCTTGTACTCTCTCTATGCATGTCCCCTGCACACTCCCACCCATCGCACACATACTCCCATTCATACTCGCTCATTGCCCAAATGCCTCCTCATATGCACCCATACACCTCCCCACCCGCGCATTCTCTGCTGTGCACAAGCTTGTGTCAGTCATTTAGGCTGCCCCTGAACCCTGTACCTTCCTTGGTGACCACCCATGCCTATCTATGGTGAAGGTCTTGAGGTAAATGAGTGCCTCAGAGAGGGTGACTAAGCACACAGGGCCCTGCTCATGCTTCCCCAAGCCCCGCATCCCTGTAGTGGCATGAAGAAGCCAACTTCTTCCTGGAGAAGAGTTTCAGCGGGAGTATAGGCTCTTGGTCAGGTCTGTAGGCATATGGGTGCTAAACCAGCAGTTAGGCGTGGCTTATTCCATGGCTAGTTAGGGGACATGACCGTATTTTATTTCATTTCATTTCATTTTTATTTAATTTTTGAGACAGGGTCTCACTCTTGCCCAGGCCAGTTTTGAACTCCTGAGCTCAAGTGATCATCCTCCCACCTCAAGGGCCTTATTTTAATTTTTTTTTGAGACGGAGTCTCGCTCTGTCACCCAGGCTGGAGTGCAGTGGCCGGATCTCAGCTCACTGCAGTCTTGACCTCCCAGGCTCAAGTGATCCTCCCACCTCAGCCTCCTGAGCAATTTGGGATTATGGATTACAGGTGTGCACTAACACACCCAGCTAATTTTTGTATTTTTAGTAGAGACAAGGTCTCACTGTGTTGGCCAGGCTGGTCTGGAACTCCTGACCTCAAGTGATCCACTTGCCTTGGCCTCCCAAAGTGCTGGGATTACAGGCGTAAGCCACCGGTTCAAACTGCAGAAATGATATTCCTTGAAAAAAGTCTGTGTCCCCTTCATTGGCACCTGGGACACTGAATATGGAGCATGCAGGCCATTCACGCTGGTCTCCCCAGGGTCTGGTAGGCTTGGGATGTTGGGATGTCATGGTTCTGTCCCTGCCCCTCTGTCTTTCTGCATTACCTCAGACACCATGGTGAGGCTCTTGTAAGCTGTTCTGTCCTGTTGAATCTCATGGTACCATGAAGGTGGCTGGAAACCCGCACACTAGGGCTGCACACTTTCTTTTTTAATTAATTAATTAATTAATTGATTGATTGATTTTTTTGAGACAGAGTCTCACTTTGTCACCCAGGCTGGAGTGCAGTGGTGCAATCATGGCTCACTGCAGTCTTGACCTCCCAGGCTCAAGTGATCCTCCCACCTCAGCCTCCTGAGCAATTTGGGATTATGGATTACAGGTGTGCACCAACACACCCAGCTAATTTTTGTATTTTTAGTAGAGACAAGGTCTCACTGTGTTGGCCAGGCTGGTCTGGAACTCCTGACCTCAAGTGATCCACTTGCCTTGGCCTCCCAAAGTGCTGGGATTACAGGCGTAAGCCACCGCGCCCAGCTGGGCTCCATAGTTTCTAGAGAGGAATGAACGTGCAAATGTAATCACAAACAGATATACAGACACATGTACACGGTAGTTCAAAGCCAAAAGTAATTTTGCTACTTTCTTTTCTTAGAGTGACAGAAAACACTCAACTCAGCTGCTTAAAAAAATATAAACACAATGCTCCATTCTATAAGGTTTACTGGAAAATACAAAGAATATTAAAAATATGCTTCAGAGCAGCTAGGGATGAAGAAAGAGAGCACGGAAAAGAGGGCGAGAGACAGGAGAAAGCAAAGAAGAGAAGAAAAGGAGAGGACGAGAGAGTCAGGGAGAGGAAGCAGAGAGGAGACAGAAGGAGAGACTTAGGATTTGGAGAGAGGCTCGGCATTTCACGTAGAATGTGAACTCTCCACAGTGTCAGTTGGGAACTGCGGGCCGCACAGAAGGCTGTCGCTGGTGAGCATTCCGTATGATATCCTGATTTGCTGATTACTTCAGAGTCCTTCAGCTGCTGTAATCCTTAAGCTTCTACACCAGAAGTTCTTAACCTTTTGGGGGGTCTTGGACCCTTTTGAGATTCTGATGAAAGCTCTGGACTCTCCCCTGGAACGTTGCACACATGCACGCGCACACACACACAGACACACACATGCTTAAGAAAACAATTTTACAGGGCCAGGTGCGGTGGCTCATGCCTGTAATCCCAACACTTTGGAAGGATGAGGTGGGTGGATCACCTGAGGTCAGGAGTTCAAGACCAGGCTGGTCAACATGGTGAAACCCTGTCTCTACTAAAAATACAAAAATGAGCTGGGCGTGGTGGCGGGCGCCTGTAGTCCCAGCTACTCAAGAGGCTGAGGCAGGAGAATCGCTTGAACCTGGGAGGCGGAAGTTGCAATGAGCCAAGATCATGCCACTGCACTCCAGCCTGCGCAACAGAGTGAGACTCCATCTCAAAAGAAAAAGAAAGAAAGAAAAAACAATTTTACAGATCCCTCTTAAGTTCATCCATGAAAATCAGGTTAAGAACTCGCACTTGACAGCCCCCTGTCATTTGGATAACCAGAACAGCACATCTGGGGGGCAGGAACATTCTTCTTTGGGCTTAAGCAGTTGATGATCAAATATTACTGAAAACTCAGAAGGAGTCCTACACTGAGATTTGCTCAGAAGTTCCTCACCACTTCCTACATACCCTTCAGTTCCTGTTTTGGAACACAAATATAATCAATAAGCCCATATCGGATCCTGGGTACATATAAGATGTTTTTGTCTCTTGACACCAGATGTAGAACATGGGTTTGTCCCTGATGCTTGGGAATTTTCCTGTGTAGTGGAGCCTTTGTTGTTTTGTTGCCCAAAGCATCCCAGAACAGGTGGCTTGTTTTGGACCCCAGTCACAGGCATTCATTCACTCTCCTTCCCATCAGCTTTCCTGAGCACTGAACTCATCAGGCGGATCACTCTAAGGTGCTTTTCTTTTTTCTTCTCTTTTCTTTTTCTTTCTTTCTTTCTTTTTTTTTCTTTTTGAGACAGGAGTCTTCGCTCTGTGCACCTCAGGCTGGAGTTGACAATGGCGCGATCTTGCTCACTGCTAACCTCCGTCCCTCCGGGTTAAACATTCCCTTAGCCTCCCAATAGCTGAGTCTACAGGCACCTTGCCAGCCACGCGCCGGGGCTAATTTTGTATTTTGTAGAGACGGTTTCACCATGTGGCCAGGCTGGTGTCGAACGCCTGACTCAGGTGATTCTACCTGCTCGGCCTCCCAAAGTGCGTGGATTATAGGCATGAGCCATCCACACCCGGCCTCTAAGGTGCTCCTGTCTAGATATCTTGGGTGTTCATGCATGTTGAGAATGTCACAGGCTAAGTCATGAACGCTCTCCAAGGCGAGAGGGAGTGTAGCTATTACTTTGGAGAGGCCCCACGGGGCTTGAGGCCAACCAAGAAAGGGACTCCAGCAGGATACAGGATGTGGGATATCCTCTGAGGCTGAGCAATGCGAGGAACTTGCCAAGGTGTGTTTGACTCCGAGGTTTCCAGAGATTGAAGTTCCTACGTGGCTTGCTTGCA